TCTTTACTCTTAAGAATTATTTTCAAGATCCATTTTCAAAATCAAGGACCATAAAAATTCTATAAAGAACCATTAAATAATTCCCAGAAGGCACTTTCTCTGTAACAAGGCAAGGGAAAATTGAATTCAACAAGTGGCATAAAACAGCAAATAGAATATCACATCTGAGTAGAAAATGCAAATGCTAGATCAATAAATTATAGCATATAACAGACATGATAGATCCAGCATTTGAGCGAGAAGCAAGAGAAATCAATAAAATTCAATCCAGATCCGTAAACAATCATCTCGACTCAAAGTTGCAATTGGAATTTCATAATCAAAACACAAATATGAAAAGCTCCAACATGAATACACAACGCAAATCACAGATCCAGATCAAAACCGACAACCTGGGAATTAGATCTACCTACCTACGCTTAAAAAAGGGTTCAAAATCATACAAAAAACAAATAATCTACTTCACATCACACAAAATAGATTCGAAAAGGAAAAGAAAGCGTGATTGTGTCCAGAACTAGTTCAGATCAAGCAAATAAACTCAGTTTTCTCGTCGGGAAAACGGGAACTCTATTCAAGAAGAAGAAATCCGAGCAAACGCGAACATTAAAAAAATCAAATGTAGGGCAAGAAGAAGAAAAGGAATTCGAAAATGGGAATCAAGCTCGCTCACCTGAACAATTGCTCCACGGAAAGGGACGGACCGAGATGAGCTGAGCTGAGCAACGATATGATGAAGAAGGCGCGGAGATCGTTTTTATAGCAATGTGCTTCCAGTTTTACCCCTGCTGCTGTGCAAATGGACTCTCCATTTTTACGAGCGGTGTGAGCTTCAACTCAATGTTTTCAAAACCGAACCGGAGGTCAAACCGTTTTGACCTCCGGTTCATGATTTTGATGGTCCAATTGATTTAACCATTTAAAAAACCAGATTAATTGAAATTTGAATCTATATATTAAATATAATATAATGTAATTTATTTTAATGAATTAATAGTGGCTCTAGTGGTTAGGGCTCCATACCTATAGTAAGGAGAACTTAGGTTCGAGTCTTATGTATATTAAAATTATTCAGTTTATAAATACTATTATAATAAATAAATTTTAATGCATCAACATACAACAAACTTGTTTCGGATAGAGTGGCATGAATTATTTGAAACTTTTAAGAGATTCAATGTTTGAATCCAAAGGAAACCATTTTTCCTTTTAAATCCTTATTACATTCTTTAAAATATATTCTTTGCAACATATTTACAACAAGTTGGATGCTCTAGTGGTATTCGAAACCCTCATGAGGCAAATTTTGGAGAATTTTGTCCAAAGAATTGGTCTGGCTAGTTGTACTGGTTGCCGATTTTGACCAATTTGAATGGTTTGAGTGGTTTCAAATGGTTCAACCACTTAAATGATTTAAAATATCAACCCGACTCGTTTTTATTATTGGGTGTTAATTCAATCGGTTCAATCGATCGATTCGGTTTTCAAAACATTGCTTCAACTGCCAGTCTGGCGTCTAGAAGTGGAGGGGTGAAAGTGGAATCAAAGGTTATATTTGAATTTACGAAAATGCCCATCTGAAAACGGTGTGGCAAATCATACAGCGGAGCATGGAATTAGAATATTCCATACGCGGTTTAAAGGGAGTAAAGACTAAAAGCGTGTCAAAGCTGTGATGCACATAAATATGCGGAGCTTCCTTGAAATTACATTTTCTCTTTTAAAAAATTGACAATAAGACGGCAAATATGCCTGATTCCAAATTTTTAATCTTTTTTTTTATTTATAATTAGAGCATTTTTGGGTTAGACAAATTTTTATTTTTATTTTAAAAAAAATTTAAGATCAAGGTGCCTTCTAGTTGATTTATACTTCATTTTTAGCAATAGCTTAAAGAATCTCATGCAATTAAGTCTAATGATTTGGATACTAATGTCATATTATAAAAAAAAATCATATTAATCTCAAGAATACTTAAATTCGGAAGGATGCTGCTTTTTTTTTTTTCTTATATCGAGAAAACAATATAGTGAATCCTTGTTTTTTTTTTTATAATAAAATATGAGTTCTTTTTTTTTTAATGAAAAAAGAAATAATATTATTTAAATAAACTCATTGTTTCAAGTAGAGCTTGTTATTTTTTTATTTTTTTAATGTGAGGAATTACGGGGAAGGTGGAATTTTTTCGAGTGGTTAGTAGAATCAAACTTTTTACCAACTTAACGTGAATACTAAAATTTAAAGACAAACTATTAAACTTGAAGTTTTGATTTAAATAAAATGTATTATTTTTTTTTTAACATAAAAAAATTTAAAAACATGATTAATTATTTTTAAAGTATTGACAAGAGTCAAACTTTCAACTAAGTACACTCAAACGCATAACGTTAAGTGCAAAGCATTTGACCAGAAGGCCTGGTAGGTAAAACTTGTTAATTAAATTGCTTTTTAGGTAAATTGTTAATTACCGTAGTTGATGCCTTTTAATTTTAAAGTACTCTTGACTTCTAGTCGTACAATTTACTCTAAGATGTGTCGGTTCATTGTCCTATTGGTCTTTCTCTTGGGATGTTCTACCCTGTGTGGACCATGTTTTCATTTAAAATTGTCCTTTTCTTTTGGTACAATTCCCCAAAAGTATTTGTTGGTAGGGTTGTTTTGAGGAGATCCATGAATGTCCAACACACGTTGGTTTTATATTTAAGATGTATTAGTATTTTATGAACTTAAGTAACAAGCATGTTTTCTTTTATTATTATTATTATTTATTTTTTTATGGTGACACAAATGGTAGTTAGGACTTTAGGTGTATGAAATAAATAAGAAAGAGAAGATTATTGTGATAAGAGAGAAAGAATCAAACTTAAACAATAATAATAAGATTAAAGGGAAAAATATATATAACTTTACCTTAACCAATGAAAATTAATTAAAGACATATCTTCGATAAAAAACAAGTATTAGTTTTAAAAAAATGAAATTAATATATAATTTCTTTTCGTTTCTTTTCTATGCTTATTATATACTGTTAAGTGAAAAAATCTCACATCGACTATACAAATAAGGAATTTATGGATTAAATAAAAGAAAGACTACTCCACATATAACTAATTGGTTTTAGGTTTGATGCAAATATTGTCTTGAACTCACATGCATGATTTTCACATAATATCAAAGTCCAGATTCTGGTATGGGAAGCCTATTGTTAACCCACCTGATAGGACTCGAAGTTGTTAACCCATTTGACAAGACTCGAAGTTGAAGATACCGGACCTACATTTAAGGAGACGTGTTAACCCACGTAATAAAACCCTACATTCATAGTGTGCGTACACGTAAGGGAACGTGTTAAGTAAAAAAATCTCATATTGAGTATAAAAATAAGGGGTTTGTGGGTTAAATACAAAGAAGGCTACTCCACCTATAGCCAATTAATTTTAGGTTGGATGCAAATCTTATGTTGAATTCACATACACGATTTTCACATATACCAACATCTAGTAGGTCTGATTGTCAGTTCGTAAACTATCGTGTACATTATTTTGTTTTTATGGGAAAAAAAATATAGATACCAATTTACTCAAATATGGAGAGAAAACTTCCTCTAGTCATGTTAGAAATCTGGATTCAAATTATTTTAAATTGTTTCACAAAGAAAAAAAATTATTCCAAATTCATTAGTACTTTTTGTTAATTATAAAAAGAAAATGATTTAAAGAAAATTTTTTATATAATTTTAAGTATCATTTAAATGATTTATTCTTTTTATTTATTTAGTTTTCATGATACTAATTAGTTCATCACTTATTTAATAACACATGAAAGTTGTATAAAAATATTATAAAAAAAATTATACGAAAAGGACATTTTTATATCACTGCACATTATAAAATGTCATGTATTATATCATAAATTTATTATATAAATAATAATTAACAATCTAAATAATTTGATAATAATATCTTTTGAATGAAAATAAGAGGTTTTAAGAATTTAAATAGTATAACATGTAAATAAAGTGGTTTAAGAAATAGAAGATGATTTACCTTTGATTATGCAACCTAAAATCAATATATATATATATATATGGGAAATGATTTTTGTTCAACTTTTTTGTCTCACTTTTTTGTGTAACTTGACGTCTCATTAAAATCATTGATTTTTTTAATTCATGTGAGACCCATGATATTAAATACATTTACTCATTTAACGATATTTGGAAGTTGTATAAAAAGATGATATAAAAAAGTTGTCCTTATAGCACCA